TTGTATTTATACCTTTTACCTATCACCTGTAATTACGGCTGCAGGTGGGTGTCAAAATATGGTGACTCACCCTGTACACTTGGCCAAACATAAAACTGGTACAGGCAATATATATTTTTCAAATTTGCCTAGTGTGAGTCAGGCTTAACAAAAAATCTTTTCTGAAAAACTTAGGTCAGACAGTTTTTGTCAATGTCAAAACTGAACAACAGTAAATGCAACATGTTTTTATGTTATGTTTGGTTCAAAAATGACACTGACTTGACTCTCTTGGTCATTTTTGAGGTGATAAAAAAGGTTGATTTACACAATACCTATAACACAATAGGAAAATGCATACCAATTTTTCTTAGTTTAGTTCGATTCTTAATTTTGGAAGTATAAACCACTCATAAGTGAAAACTGCGTTTTGTTAATATTTTGATTTGTATTTGACTTTGACACATAGACAAAATTTCAGAAATACATGGCCCACTAAGATCACTTTAACCAACGCAGCACGCGTATGGTGCAGAATATAATTTTCATGAATACCTGTCATGGCTACGATGACGATGTGATGGTGAACCCCGAACATCTCAGAAGGCATTAGCCAATTTATTTACCTATTTTACATATTTTTTATTTTAGTCCTAAATTTTGGTTTTTGATTCTGTTTGTAGTTTTTTGGTGGCACATAAAATAAAGGGCTATAATACACTTTTAGTTCAATTCAATTTCAATTCTTGATATTGTGGACTGGTAACTACTTTTAGAAACATAATTAATACATAAGTTCTTCTTCTACTTGTTACTAATTTTATAGTGCAGTAAAAAATTGAGATTTTTTTTTTTTGTTTTATCCTGAAAAAGAAGACAAGAAGGTTTTTCCAGAAAATGTTGTTATTACCTAATATTTGTTTATTTATATTTTGGGTTAGAATAAAGATTCAGACTTGCGGTTTTCACCTTTTTCCGAATTTTTTTATACTCTTTTCATCTAGATTAAAAAAAAGCATCATTATATTTGAAATTTCCGAGAAAAAATGGAAATTTTTCAACTTTCAGACACAGCGCCTCCTAGCAGCAACAAAATAATTTAATTTTGTTATTTTTGTTATGAATTTCATCAAACAGAAAAAAATCTTCCAAATGACACCCGAATCATTGAAATCAGTTGAAAAACAAAAAAGTTATATGACTTTTGTTTATAACAAGTTTGAACCTTGAAATCGGGGCCAAATAGACAAAAACTAAGAGCGTCACTGGATTCTGGTTAAAAACTGTGTCTAGAAAGTTTTTCCGGAAATCAATTTATTATTTGCATAAAAAGAAAAGTTATGAAGCTTTCACACGAAATCGAGAAACGCCCTCTAGCGGCAAAACGCAAAACGGTTGAATATATCAAAATCACAATTTCATGTCACGAAATGACTTTTTGAGAGAAAATCCAAGAAAATCGGTCTCTTGTCTCGTCAAGACGAGACGATCCAAGAATCTCTCGTCTCAGCGGCATCACTATCCATCAATCAATAAATTTTGATGAAAGATTATTTAAAAGTTTGTAAACCGAACTGAAGACATTGACGCCTCACTGCGCATGCGTTTAGGTGAAAAAAGCCACTGTAAACCATATTTTCAACTGCCTTGCATTCAACACAACATAGTATTAGTTGATCCAATTCTTGGCAAACCTACTAAAACTGTACAGGGTGGCCCAAATTCGAGCCTCATTATTGGGATCCCGGTAACCGTAAGAGATCCGGGGTCGGTTAAATTATGGCAAAGTTGCGCAATTTTATGACCAATAGAAAGCCGTTTTGAAACTAGAAAGATTCCGAATACTTCCGGAGATATTCGGAAAAAACCGAAATTTTGTAAAATCGTTTTTATTTTTCCCCAGGCTTATTTGAAAAGCAATTTTAAAATAAACGTCACCTCATCATTGTCACTTTTTCCCCTTCAGAAGATGGTGCTACTAAATTTAAAATTCGATGTTTCGTCTTCAGGCGGCCATCCTCAACTTACGTTTTTTAAATACGGACCTAGATTTTTTATTTGCGATTTTGTCATCTTTGAACATCCTAGAACCGATACTGTTTATAATTTTACAATAACACGGTGGAAAAAGCAGGTCCGTATTAAAAAAAAAAAGAAATTGATGATGATTCCAGAGGAACGAAACGTTGGATTTAAACTTTAATACCGCCATCTTGTAGAGAATAAAAAGTGACAATGGAAATGTGAAATTAGTTTTTCAAAATCTTTTTAAATGGAATCAGGAAAAAATTTAAGAAAAACGAGAAATTCATGTTTTTTTCGTATAGTTTTAATTTTTTCCTTATTTTACTTTATTTTATTTTATTTGAAAAGATTGTGAAAAACTAATTTTACATTCCCATTGTCACCTCGATTGTCACATTTTCTTCTCTTCAAGATGGCGGTATTAAATTTAAAATCCAACGTTTCGTTCTTCTGGAATCATCATCAATTTTTTTTTAAATACGGACCTGCTTTTTCAACTGCGTTATTGAAAAATTACAAACAGTATCGGTTTTAGGATACCCAAAGATACGAAACGTCGAAATTTAAAATTAGTAGCACCATCTTCTAAAGGGGAAGAAGTGACAATGATGGAGTGACATTTATTTTAAAATTGCTCTCCAAATAAGCCCACGAAAAAATAAAAACGTTTTTACAAAATTTTGGTTTTTTCCGAATATCTCCGGAAGTATTCGGAATCCTTCTAGTTTCCAAACGGCACTTTATTGGTCATAAAGTTGCGCAACTTTGCAATAACCGAGATTCCAATGATGAGGCTCAAATTTGGGCCACCCTGTACATGAATCATCATAAAACAGTAGGTACATTGAAATCAATCATCACTGCTTGAAAAATACTTGAAATATTGACAAAAAAACTCTAGGTACTATGAAGTAATAAATTTTGTTGTAATAATATTTAAATTTTATGAAACAAACTTGAGAAACTGGAGCCTCACTGCGCATGCGTTTGGATAAGGAACGCCACCCTGAGCCACCTTTTTAATGTCACAAATTTAAAACACAACCCTAAGTATTAATATTAATTAGCTCATTTCTTGGCAAACATTATTACACTAAACACTTCCTATTCATATAAAACAGTGCACTGAAAACTATCACCACTACTTGAAATACATCACTGGAAAAACAAAATAATATTCAACACTAAAACCACATTAAAATTATTTCTTATATAAGTCGATATTCACTGAAACTTAGCAGGTGTAATTAGAACAAGGCCACAGCACTATAAAATAAAATAATAAGCTACACAGGTTCCGTCAGTAATAAATATGCAATATTAAAAAAATAAATATGAGTTAAAACATATATAAACCACAATAATTAAAAAATATTAATATTTCAACACTATAATATACACACAAGTCCTTTAATAGAACAACACTTAACTGCGCAGCTGTAATGGAACTGTGCGCTTCATAATAATGCGCAGACCTACTCCGAGAACTACTTATTAGAGAGAGCAGTTCCGATAAGTTCAGTCATAATGAGAAATCACTTTTAAAATATAAAAATCCGCACTAATACACTATAGCATCCCCTTTTAAAACAAACTAAGCCACGTCACTTTTTTGTTCCAATCATTTTAAATCCACATAAACTGCACAGAAACTTCGGCTGAAACAAAGAAAATACACTATCATATTTGCGCAGCCGCAGCATCCTCTCGTTTTTTGAATGCCTATAAGAGCGAATCACTTCACAGTTCACTTTCTATTTCTTATATTTCTTCCATTCAGTTCAGTATAGTATAGGTAATGATCTAATAACAATATATAATTTCAGGTACCTGAATGGGTACCGGGTGTCAAGCTCAGTGTCAAGTTATAAAGTACCACTCGCTGTAACTTTTTTAGGTACGATCAAAAATAAAAAAGATACAGGGGATGGTACTTTATAACTTGACTCCCTGAAATTTACCTGGAACTGGGAACCAGTTTTGATTGTACCTGAAATGTATAAGTAATAGGTATAAATAAACGCTGAAATTGGCCATTAGGATTCCGAAAGTAAAAATTATTTTGATTTTCTTTTGATAGTTCTAACAGCCAATTAAATTTTGTTTTTTTTTTTGTTGTCATGTGACACATATCAACTAATAATTTCAACATTATACTGAAAACAGCCCTAGGGTTGTTTTCACTCTGACATTGCCTCAGACATTGATGTAAAAAAAAATTCTATCCGAATAACCCTCGAAAATTGATAAATAATGCTTGTTGCTTATAGGAAACCAGCTTTCGAAATCTGATATAAATTTTATTCAAACAATTATCAATGTCCTTGGATTATTACTACACTACTGAGAATTTCTTGGATTGCCTAATTTAAAAAAAAAAAAACTTGGTATCGGAACAGGAAATGGTACCTATCAGGTATCTCGGTAATAATAAATAAAAAAATATCGAGCAACATTTAATTGAAACTAGTTATAAATTCCTAATTATTATGATAAATTAAACACTCAGCGATTAAGAATAAATGAAAAATTAAAAATATAGGACTCTGGGCACGCTGCAAGTTTTAGAAATTCTCAGTCATTTTGTTCAAAACTTTTCAATAACAATATTATCAATATCAATATATCAAATGCAAGGTCAACAAAAATTTAATTTCACAAAAGAGGTTAGAAAAATATATTCAAGGTCAAACAGGTCAAATGTGAAACGTGGTCAAATTGTGACAAATGCCAAAATTGTCACATCCAAGTCAACTGTCATGTCCTGTGTCATGTCAAATGGCAGAAGGACATGCGCACTTGGATTCAGGCTCGGATTTTGGATTTTCAATTAAAAAAACAAAATAAGAAGATAACCACTATTTATCTTCATCACATTTCTTATTTTTATTCTTATACGCTGTAGAATAGAAAGGCCCAAATACTCCTAAATTATTTTTATGTTATTTGTCTGTATGAATTCAACAATAAATAACAAAACAAAATGGCTGACTTACCTCAATTCCAGTTGTCACTAAAATCACTTCTTTTATATTATATTTTCCCGAAAATCGCTCGTCAAACACGTTAATTAACTGAGTATTGCTCACACTGCTCACAGGACAAAGCCTGCAAACGTCCGTAAGTTCTGCGGCGTCCATTTTAAAATAAAAATGCTCGTGGCCGTTGAAAACTACACTCAACACGTAGCCAACAACTTGCCTCGTTGCGACTGCGAGACTTGGAATGGCACGATAACTATTTATACAGTGAAGGTTATATAGACGGCGAGGTCGGAACAGTTCGGAGGAGCGACGACCGACGCGACGAGTCGAACGCAACGTTGTTTCTATTACCCCTTGCCCCTTGCCTCACCTCAAAACGACAACAACCAACGTCTTCAACAACAACCTTGCTTGACGGGACGACGGAATCTCACCACATGGTTGCCGTTCAAGGCTAGATAGGAAGCAGGGTGACCGTATTAATACAATTGTACTAAATTTAGTACATTTTTGATAATATCAAAGTTCACTACCATACCGTGTAACGTGTTCACTACAAACTAAAAATTAAAATCTAGTTCTTCTAATGCTGAATGGCTGAATCTTAGGGCTGAATGCTGTGATGTCAGAGTCTGGAGAGGCAGAGGAAAAATTTGACTAGAGTCTAGCCATCACATGTGGAGCAACTACGATTGCAGCCGAAAGCCGAGCCGAGCGCATTGAATTTGAAGGAAGGTGTAATTCGGTTGCAGCAAAAGGTTGTTGACTGGAGCAATGTAATACACTGCTCAAAAAAGAAAAAAAAATATGTTGATATTTGTTGGGAACTCTTTTAAATTGGAAATCTGGGTTTATTGGCAGTCTGTTCTACCGCCAGTACCGCCCAAGCGCAGCGCCCTATATTTCCACCCTTTCCACATTATTAACGTTCATTAGGATTGAATCGAATTTCTTTTTCTGGACCATCGGAAATATATTTGAACGCGATAATACGCCGGCTGATACCTCTCTTAAAATATAGGACGAAAATAAACTAAAAAAAAGGACTTTCTTTTTGTTTGTTTTTTCTATATTACTATCCTAAATCCGAACTACAAAACATGTAATATTTTTACAAATAATTATTTCTTGTAAAATGGACTTGTAATTTTGTTTTGATAAAAATAAGAATGGTTAAAGACACGATAGAAATATTTAAATTCTGTTCTCGATTTTCTATGCACCACAGTTCGTTGTTCGAGTGAAAATTTGTTATTGCGGCGTTGTCATATTAATAATATTAATATTTATAAATTACAATAAAATCTCCTTTGTCTCTGAAATATGGAGAATAATATTCTTCTTCTACTACTAACCTGAAAGTCATTATTCAATCTATTTTTCTAGAAAAAAAAACAAATTACAAAAGAACAGGTTTCTGTATGTAACATAGGAAGCTACCATAAGCTGTTGATAGAGGGCGGTACTTTCTGGAAGGCCGTAAGATCAATTTTTATAGTGCTCTGGGGTACTTTGTGCGTAAAAAACAAAATTCGTTCACTCAGTGGTTTCGAAACGGTTTATGGGACGTTTTTTGACGTGTTGGAATGGACGTTTTATGCTCGGTTTTATGTATATGACCTCGACAAAACAATGATAACGGCAACCCTATAAAGTCTGTTTTTTTTTTAAAGATAATAGACCTATCTATTTTTACCTGTATGCGCGCGCAACACGAGGCAATGCATTTTTATTGGCTAACTAGTACAAGTGTGAGGTGATCGTTTTGCAAGCTGGGCATCTTCTTGTCCTTGTTCATTGCCCATGGTCTGACAAGGATAAAAGTACGGTTGATATTCAATCTGACATAACTTGACAAGTGATCGATTTTCAATTGTTTGTGTTTTTGATTGACAAATACGTTGCACGTCACGCGGTTTTCCTCCTTCCTTTTTTATCCCGTGCAAATAATAAGAACGGATTACTACACGTAAGTCTAACATAATTTGATACGTTTTGCCTCGTCTTGCGCAATAACCGTTCTGCGTCTTTTTCTATCGAATAAAGTTTTCGTATTATTACCTCTTGTCTGGTAAAATAGATAGGTCTATTCCCCAAGTCAAAAATTTATTAACTATGTTGGCAACACAAGCCTTTTCTACATAAAAAAATTGAAAGCATTGACAATTTTACATTGTATTGCCAACATAATGTCATTTTGACTTTTATCTTTAAAAAAAAAACAGATTTTACAAAGAATCCTGTACATTGTTGTATCTTTACGAATCCACCATACGCTGTCTCCATTTCAAATGAAATCTGCAACATTTTTGTACAGCTCATAGTGAATAGATGGCGTTATCGAGGAAACGCAGGAGTCACTGTAAACGCAGGTACAGTGACCCTATTAAACCACAGTGGCGACAATTGGGTACCTACTGTCTTATTTTTTATTGGTTTTTTAAAATCCTATATATATGTATATATTCATATGGAAAAATCCGCCATTTTCTGCCCTACCTCTTGCTAATTTTAACTATGAATATATAGGATTTAAATGGACATCCAACATCCTTCATAAAAAATTGAAAACAACGTATTTGATGACTATTAGTACAGTGACTTTATTACCCACCGTGGCGACAATTGCTGTCTTATTTTTGATTGGTTCTAAAATCTCATATATTTATATTGAAAACGCGGCCATCTTGTTCCCACCTATTGCTTATTTCAAATATGAATATATGGGATTTGGGTGAACATTGAACATCCATCATAAAACATGGAAAACAACGTATTTGTATTTGATGGACCTAATAATAGTCATCAAATACGTCGATATCAATTTTTTATGAAATATGTCCATTTAAAACCTATAAATTCATATTTAAAAGTAGGTAACAAGAGGTTGGGAACAAAATGGCGGCGGGACCTCTATTGTCGCCACTGTATGTGAAGGTTTATTTAGCCACTATAACTATTAGTAGGTAGGTACCAAGAATCGTAAACTCTACAGGATTGCTCAATCGGCTAAATTTGTTCACAATTGCTGTGACGTCACGCGCATGCCGGGTTTTCAAGATGGCCGCTGATACGAATGATGTTTAGTTTGTGCTGACAACTATTTTATCGTAAATTCGGATTTATCTAGTGTTATAAGTGTAAATTTAAAGTTTCATTTAATGTGTGTAAGCATAAAAGACTCGTGGCTGAAAATACTCGCGAAAACCCCAAGTATTTTCTGGTTTTATAATACTGGATTTGTTGTATCAGGACATCGCTCATTTATTTGTGTGTATTGCTAGTTAGTATTTCCTAGTCAAGCATTTGTTTTGCTTTTTTTTATAAATCAAATATCTACTTAGTTGTAAGTTTCCTTTGCATGTAATTACTAATAAAAATTAGGGTTTGTGAAGAGTGAATAAATAAATATGTAAATAAATTCCTTTACTGGCGCGTTTACTATGAAAACGCATGGAAAATATGGGAAACTTGCAATGTTTTTCTGGAATATGATTATGAGAATCTAAATTAGGTATCACTATTTGGCTTTGTGAAATAAGCTCACTTTGAATGTCCATATTAAATCGTTCTAGTACCTATTAAATTAATGAATAATAATTGAGAAGTACCTAGGTAGGGTCAGTAAAAAATAAAGCACACTATTGCAACCCCGTTTCGCTTATATTTTGATATTGAAATGCAAAAATTAAACCGGCTCGACACCCCACATTTGGTTTTCTACTGTTTCTCAACTGTAGTCAATTGTGCCCGTTTTGTGCTCAATTGTGCCAGTATTTATGCGAATTGTGCTCATTTTCATACACAAAAAAACACATTGAAACGAATCCGGGGGCCAGCTTGACTCCAGCCCTTCGTTTTTTTGACTTTTTGGCAATATGTTTGGCTAATTGATAAACAAAAGCAAACAAACTCGTCTTTCTAATTAGCAATTAGCCAACCACTCGAGCCTCAAGGACACAAGCTTTTGAAGTCTGCTAATTTTAAAATCAATAAATTAATTACAAAATACAGTTTTCAAAGGAAATAACCTCAAAATAACAATTTTTCACGTTTGAAAATGCAACGATAGTGCACTGTCATAAAAAACACAAACCGATCAAGGACTGCGTGACGTCATTCGCATACCGCCATCTTCGATGTTTTTATGAACGTTTGTCTTATGGGATTGAGCAATCCTGTAGAGTTTACAATTCTTGGGTAGGTACAAGTCGTGAGCGTAAAAAGTTGGACACCCATTTTTTCCTATTGTGAAACGAGCTCATCAGGTCTTTGTCATCAGCCATACCTACGGCAATGACAGGGATTTTCATATTTGACAAAAAATCTATTGTAGAGAAAAGACTGATTCACCCAAAATAGCGAAAAATGACAACACGTCAGTCGGGCGTCTCACTTTTTATGCTCACGACTGTACATCAAATACGTTGTTTTCAATTTTTTATGATGGATGTCCATTTAAATCCTAAATATTTATATACCGGGTGTTTTTCAAAACCCGCTCACCCCTATAACTTTTTTATTTTTCCAGATAAACAAATGAAATTTGGTGTGTTTATTTATGACCCGGATGTGCATTATTTGACGTATTTAATTTTTTACTATCACTTCCGGTTTGACCGGAAGTGACCCTAACTATCTTATTTTAAATGAGACGCTAGGTATATTTTCCCTCATTTTAATAGAAAACTACATTACGAGCACTGGTAAAGCGTGGACTGTATTCTTTATAGAAAACACTGGTTCAATTCTTCGATATAAATTTATTAAGAAATACTTTAAAATTACAATAAACGGAAGAATAAAATAAAGTTCATGTCGACTTTGACATAACATGAACCAGTCTATTTTTTTTCTCAGGTTATTCTGGCAACCAGGTTTAGAACAATTACCTGCCAGGATATCACCATTGTCCAAAGAATATAAAAAACATAATTTTCTGCTTTTAAAGTAAGTAGGTACTAAACATGCCGCCGACCTTGAAATATAGAAATATTTCAACATAATAAATAGTTACAAGGGATGCAATAAAAAGTTATACAATCTAACTTAAAAAAAAATGGAATAAATAAAATAAAATAAAAACAAAGTTTGAAATTAATGTGAACTAATTGTTCACTTCATTGTTTATGGGTAGTGGACACACCTTATTTATTGCACGCTTAGCACAAGTTCCGTCACTAAACTGTACACTCACGACTCGTGATACTTTATCAGTTCCAGGAAAAAGTCTATTCACACGTGCTAGCTTCCAACGTAAAGGTGGTAAATTGTCATCCTTAATAATTACCAAGTCTCCCACTTCAACAGTTCTTGATCCTGCGTGATTCCATTTCTGTCTATTTTGCAATTCTGAAATGTATTCCTTATACCAACGATTCCAGAAATGCTGTGTCATTTTTTGAAGACGTTGATATTTATTTAAGCGGTATTCTTTAATTTCTGTAACATCAGGATCGGGAAGTGAGACTAATGATCTTCCTATCAAAAAATGACCAGGTGTGACATCATCAGGACTTGATGATAAAGGGTTCAAAGGTCTGGAATTGAGCACGGCTTCGATTT